TCCCCCCCCCCCCCAGGGGAACCAATTGCGGCTTAGGGGTTTTCTCCCCCCAGGGAACAGGGATCCTTGCAGAAGGGGGGGGGGATTTTTTTTTTTTTTTCCCTTTGGGGGACTTTTTTCCCCCCGGGGGGGGGGGGTTTTTTTTGGGGGGGGGTCTTCCGAAATTTCTGGCGGGGGGTTTGCCCCCCACCAACCCATTTTTTTTTTTTGGGGGGGTTTTTGCCCTTGGGGGGGGGTTTTTTTTTGGGGGGGGGGGGGGCCTCATGTCCTTTTCCCAACCCATGGGGGGGGTTTTTTTTTAGGGGTTTGGGGGGCCAAAACCCTTTTCCCCCCCCGGGGGGGTTTTTTTAAAAAGGGAATTTTTTAGCTTTCGGAGGGGGGGGTCGGTCCCGGGAAATGTTTTTCCAAGGGTGGTGGTTGGGGCTAAACCTCTTGGGGCTAGGAAAGGGGCTATCCTTGTAAAAATTGGGCAGTTCGTTTTTGGGGGTAAAATTTTTTTTTTTGCCCGGGCTTTTTTCCCCCCCCCCCCCCCCCCCCCCCCTCAAGCAGGGCTCTGATGGGGAGGTATTTCCTATGTGCGGAGTATTCCCCTTCGCTATTCGCACTCAACCACTCAAGCATGAAGGCTATGTGAAGGTGAGATAGGGTTCGGCACACATGATTATCTATGGACACAATGTATTAGTTTTTGTGAAAGGTTAGCAGTCTGCGCTTATTCAGTTGCATGAGCAATGCATCTGAAGACCTCTTTTGTCCGAGTCTTTGTGTAGTCTAGAGCAGTTCTGATTTTAACTCTTAACAGTGATAAGCTCTGAGGTTTTATGTTCTGGGATCTTTATACGAGTGATGAGATCCAGTACTTGTTGGGGGATTGGAGTGATTTGTCTCCGCATACTGCGGGCACAGCTTGTTGCAGTGTGCAAAACAAGAGAGATTTGGGACTTCGCTTCTTACACATTCAACACATAATTGCTGCTGGCAGGTGACTCCTCGAAGTGAATGTGTACTTTTTCCGGCAACCATCGGCGAAATTCGTGGACAAGTGTATCACTCCAGTGAGATTTTTTATCCTTCGGGGAATCAAGTCACTGATTGCCCAAGAGGGTGAGACATTTTCGCTGGGTCGCTATTGCCTGTGATGCTGGGCCCGAATCATGCGACTGGTAGACTGATTTGAACGAACTAGTTTAACTCCATTGGAATAGGTGAGATGATTCACTTGATATTCACATTTTATCTGAATTTTTCTAGGCTTCTGTGATCAATGTCCAGGTTGACGATGAAAATCGATTATGACGAAGCACGAGAGGAACTCGAAGGATTCATGCAGGGAAATGCAATGGCGAGTTTTGTACACCTGCACTTTGGCAGCAACCCTACAATGGCACCTGCATTTGTGGAACGATGCAGGTATTCTGACTGCACCTGCCATTCCAGACACTTTTGGTCTTCTAGGTGTTGTTTATTATTTTAAAATGCTTCTCATGTTCATTACTGAAACTTCGTTTTGTTTTTCACAGAACAAATACCACAAAAGCAGCTGCTGTTGCTGCTGCATCAGCATCAGCTGTAGCAGGAGCAGGGCCTGTAGCAGCTGCTGCTGCTGGGGCAGCTGCGGCTGCGGCTGTAGCGGCAGCGTTGGGGGAAGCTTCACAGGAATTGGTTCCGTATCATTCTAGCATCACACTCACTGAACTTGAACCTCCTGGAAGCAGTACAAAACCTCAGTACCTATCCAGAAGTCTTCTGACTGCTCAAGAGGAGGGCTCTCATACGCGGATCTTTGAGAGGATGAGATCTTTGTCCCCCCAAGCATTTTCTGATGTAATGTTTGAAGGTCCTCAAGCAGGGCAAATTCGGCGTTCGGAGTCTTTTGATCTGGGACGTAGTACAAGCGGAAATGGTAGGTTAGTCAGGTCTGAGTCGGAAGTGTGTATTAGCACTGGTGCCAGTCAGTGTTATGGTAATGATAGTTTAAATGTAGGTCACCACAGAGGGCACCATAGAGGTAATAGTTTTAGTGAGTATTCAGATCATATTCAGCACGAAACCACAAGAATGAGGCCTTCTGATCACGTGGGTAAGTCGGAAACTGTAGCCTACAATGGCAATCATCACTCGAGCTCTGGTTTACCGATGGTTAGAGTCACAAGCAGTACGAACGATCAGTCCATTCGCAAGAGTGATGCCTCAGAAAGTAATAAAGAAACTCGTGCAACCTTAGAAAAGCTGCAGAATGGCCATACGCCTAAAAAATATGCTTTAGATGCTGGACGGCAGCAGTTAAGCTCTAAGGTAGGGAAACCTATGAACGCGAAGCGGTTTCCCGAGAGGATAATTTCATTGCTGCCTTCCGCCACCGAAATTTTGTTAGATATTGGTAAGCTTGAGTCTTCTTTCTGTTTGAAAGCTTTTTGCTTAAGTTTGCTTGTTTGGAATCAGTGAACCAGCATTGACTTGGCAAAGGGTTATTTAGGCCATGACCTTAATTTCTTGTATTGAAGGTAGTGTGATTAGAGCTTTTCAAACTGTTATACTTGCTTTAATTGGCCTTCAATAAGCTATATCCTGCTATTGAGTCGTGCGTGTTGCTGTGGACCGGTGGTGCCAGGTGTTGGAGATCGACTGATAGCCATAACGGATATGTGCGACAGGCCTCTTGGGGTCAAATCAAGACGTCATATTGTAAGTTGCTGATACCTTCTCGTTTAGCGTTACATTACGTGATTTTTATTTATTTATTTATTTTTCAGTTTTTTTCGTTTGATTCTCACTCCTTTTTTGTCTTCCCCACTCGTATTCAGGTGTGTTCGAGCAAAGTAGATGTTGGCTCCATGTCCAGCAAGAACGTGGACTTTGCGGTAAGAATCCGAACTACGTCTACTTCAGGTTCAGTATTGTTATATACTTTCTTTTTCTTTATCCTTTTAGGCTCCTAATTGCCTGCTAGATTCGTCAATGACAACATGTCTCACTTTCCCTAGGATAGATTTTCATGTGTTTTTTTTTGAGTACTGTGCCTGATTGGATAGTACTGCAAGCTTATATTTAACAACTGTTTTCCTACAGTTAAAAGCACTAGCAGCCAAGAAGGAGAGTCATTGTCGGTTGGACGTGTCATGGTTGAGTAAAGCGAAACCTGACCTCATTATTTCTCAAGTAAGGGTTACTGGCAGTGGATGACCCTTGTTGGTTTTTACGTTCCATGGAGTTGACTCTTAAATGTTATGGCCTAATAGTATGCAGCTATTATCTGTTTTGTTTGGTGTGACACAATAATGACGATGTTGTTTCGACCGCAGGATACATGTGAACAATGCGATATGCATGATAACACTTTGACCACTATGTTGGCTAAGCTTGGCATAGTAAGCAAGAGCATCACAAAATTGGTCACATTCAGCCCTAAAACGGTATTTGACTACTATACAATGTCAATGGACTTTTTCTGCTACTTAAAATTTGTATGAACACTATGTTTTATGCTTTCAAGCCTAATCCCCCCCCCCCTTTGATGTCTATGTATCCAGTGTCTCCCTGTCAAGCTCTGATATTGTACCCTTTGAAGCTTCTTAGCTAACCTTGGCTTTTGGATCCTTATCTTATGCAAATTTTCTCTTTGATGTTGCAGATAACTGATATGTTAGCTTCAATAATGACTCTGGGAGAAGCTGTTGGTCTCTATTCTGAAGCATGCTTGCTGGTTGATTCACTCCGAGCCCGGCTTCGGCGTGTGGCAGCCTCGGTGGCAAATCAAGACAGGCCTCGGGTTTTGCTACTCCAAGGGATAGATCCTTTGCAATTGGGAGGGCACTGGGCGTTCGAAATGGTGACTCTTGCTGGAGGTTCCGAAGGGTTGCAAAAACCTGGGTGTCCCCCAGAAACTTTTCATTTTCAACGACTGATTGCTTATGCTCCAGAAGTTCTTATCCTAGCACCACGCTGGTCCAGCTTGGATCGAAGTTTGGCAGAGGTACACTTTCTTCTGTTCCTTTTGACTCAATCTTCTGAAGTATCTTCTCAACTATTCGTGGTGAATATCCAATCTCGCCTTTGGTCCTATCCTACTTCTGCCTGGAAACTGTCAAGAATTTGAATGTCGAGTGTGGTGCACTTCTGACGAATTTTTAGCGGAAGTTGAAAAATTGCAGGTGGCAGGTAATAGAACATTGTAAATCTATCGTTAAAATATGGAAATAACGCAGTTTACATCTGAACTTTTCCTCCTGTTTTGTGCTTGAATTTTTTAATTGATCGAGATTATAATGAAGTCGATCATCTGGTATGTGTCTGCAGGTTGAGATTCTTGGGCGCATACCGGAATTCTGGTCCATCCCTGCGGTGGAGAGGAGGGAAGTGTACATATGTGACCATTCTTGCTTCAGCTTTCCTGGTCCAAGGCTTGTGGAGGGCGTGGAGCTGCTTGCGCATATCCTGCACCCATCAGTATCAATGAAGATGGTCAAAGAAGCAGTATTAAAGTTCTCATTACCTGTTGGCCAGAGTTGTCGTCCTGAGGATTTAACGCATCATTTCCATGCGTTTCAATAGCCTTCCAGTTCGAGCCTTCTGAAGTCTAGATACATTCAAAGTTGTACATTAATCATTCATCTAATGGCCTTGGGAAATAACCCTGATAAGGAATTCACAGGCCTTTATTTTGTAGGTTGGTGGCGGAGTAATGATTAGTGATCCTAGATGTTAATCGCGTTGGAATATTGGCTTGTGACCGAGTCATTAATTCAGCGATTGGTTCAGGTGTATTTTAAAGCAAAATAAGAGGATGCTATCGTACAAAGAGGTCTGTAGTTCTGAATGGTATTCTAATTTGTTTCATGCAATTGTGTGCTATGCTGTTTCCCTCCCGTGTCTGCACTGCGTACGTTACTGCAACTTCCTACACTCACTGTGAATATTGTGTATACTGGCCACCCACATTTGAGACAAAATGACGTTAAGGACGAACAGATTTACACAGATTTACACAGATTTACACAGATTGTTCTCTCGTAATACACAGATTGTTCTCTCGGAGTGACAAACCAAGCGTGAATCCATACGGATATTAGCCATTCGATACACAGATGAGGAGGCAGATATTTGGTTCTTTTCAAACCTCAGGAGTTCGCAATGCGTTTCCCTGTACTTGCATTGCAACAACCCACATGCCAGCCAGTCAGCCAGCCAGCCCAGTGTTCCTTGTCTTCGGCTTCGGCTTCGGCTTCGTCATCGCCGACTGTGAGAGTCTCACTGCAACATGTCTCCCCCACTGGACTCTGAAATGTCTTGCTTTTCCACCCCTGTGACGGCATGATGCTCATCTCTCTCACACTCTCTCTCACTGCTGCTGCTGCGGTGCCCACTTGTCGCCTGATCCAGACCTCCACCTCTCTCCTCCACACATCGTCTCCCCTTGGGATCTCCGCTTTTCGTTGCACATGCCGCCACAGCATTGAATTTAGGGTTTCAGGGTTGCTTTTGTGCACAAAACCCTGAGTTTTACAACGTGGGGATTGAGATACGGAAAAAAAAAAAAAAAAAAAAGGGTATTTCCCTTTGCACTGATTGGATGAGGAAAATGGTTACATTATGGATCCCGTCTTTGAATGGCAGGCAAGGAGCTTAAGACCCACACTATACAATACTTGGGGCCTACTTGCACAATATTCATGAACATGAATTTTTTTTACCCTCCTTATTTATGTAATTCACATATTCTAACTCATTAACGTTTTGTGTCACATATTTCTTGAGCTTGTAGTTGTTAAGTATAAAACAATTCAATTGTTGTGGATAAAAATTTGAAAACTTCACCCTCATGTAACTTGCAAAAATCATCCAATCTTTAAGCGGGATACCATTTCAAAAATGGCACTTAACAGTGAAGAGCATGATTGAAATGAGATATGTTTCAATTGAGGATGAAAAAAACAAAAAAGTGTGCAAGTCTAGGGACGAATTTTAAAAAAGGAGTTTAAACTTCACAATTACATCAAAACTTTGATTTGACATATCTTTTCATATGAAGTCCGTTTTTATTGATTTTGATTATTTTGGAAACCTTATAAGATCTACTTTAAGATTGAGGTGTAAAGTTTTGGTGATTTTATGATTAAGTAACCTAAGCTATTGTTTATGATTTATTTCCATAAACAAAGTACATAAAACTCATAGTATGGATCAATTCTTCAAAATAACCATAAAGGGATGATTTTTTTTATATATTCTATGATTTTTTATGCATTCTCTTTAATTAGTAATCATAAAAACACATGTGATATTTGAATTGAAAATTATTATGTGACAAAATAGATCTCAAGTTTTATTCATTGAAGCATATTACTTCCAATTGATACAAATGTCTTGCAATTGCCATTTGCAATTGTTCACTATCATTTTAAGGTAGATTTTCTACTAATTGTTGTCTATATCCTAAGTTATGGTGTCTCCAAAGAACAACAGACTCATCAATGAGATCATTTTTGTCAATGACAATATTATAAAGCAAACAACAAGTCAATATCAAGCTGAGAATTTTTTATCAAATTAGGATTTGTGATAGGATTTTAAAAAAATCTTCCACATTCTTTTTAAAATTCTAAATGAATGCTCAACTACAATATATGTTGATGAGTGCTTAAAGTTAAATTCATCATATAGTTTGAGAAGTTGGATTCTAAGCGAAGACATAATCAAGTTCTTATTACCAATTTATCCTACATTAGCTACAATCAACTCACTAATATCAACACCTTTAATTTTTATTATTGCCCCATTTAATCTTCTCCTTCAATCATATCTTTGAAGTGTTTTGACATTAGAAGTACACAAGAATCATATATTGATTTAAGGATGCATTTATAAAATAAGCTTTGTGATTTATAATGGCTTAAATTATTATTGAATAGTTGTGGTTATGATCATATCAATTTGTTGATATGGATCTACTAGGTAGAGCAAATCAAATATAAAAACAATGAAGAGTATTACAACATTATGATATGCCATAGATATTTTCAAACCCAAGTTTTACTTTTGATAAGGCTTATCCTCTTGGTCATTTTAAATGTAAAAGCAAAGCAATATTGATTAAAGTGGTAATAAATTGCTTACAAACTTTCAGGCTTATTGAGTCATGTATACCAAAAAGTTCACTTGTACAGTTATAAGTGTCTCCAGTTCCAAGCTTTTTCAACACAATGGCAATTTATTTAGGTACATCCATTAATTGCCTTGTGATATTTATTATGAAGATTTTTCTTCAAATTTTTATGTCCCAAATTGCAAACATATAAAAAAGTTAAAACAAATAATTGAAAAAAATTGACAAAAGCATTTAAGAACTTCTTGCATTATCAAAGTTGAAGATTGTTTCTACAAGTGAAATTTATGTGGCTTAATATGATAAAGACTATGCTTTGATCTAAATATATTCTTCTTTCTAAGCTTCTAAATAAATACTTCTTGAAATAATTATTCATATTTTGTAAGTGAATAAATGATAGAAAATATTTCTTCAACTATCATTTATGTTTTAAAATTATCAAGATTCATATTCTTAGTGTTTTGCTTGTTTGAATCTTTTATAAAATTCTATGAATTGTTAATTGTATTGTAGTCCAAATTGATGTTGTAGCTACCTCCATAGCAACAATTATAATTTTAAAATTGGAATTGTCTATGTTGCATGACTTTTACAAAAAAAGACAATAATTAGATACAAATAAAAAATAAATATAAATATTAAAAAAAACTAAAAATTAAGATTATCAAAAATAAATAAATAAATAAATAAATAACCACCAAATAATGGTACATAAAATGACATTGATTTCTCAATCGTCAATTTATTTTTTAATATGATAGAACTTGCTTAAATTTAATAAGTCATAGATGAAAATTTGAACTATTGTTGTCAAGGACAAGAACATAATAAAAATAAATAAACAAGTGAGACTTCTCTCAAGGAAAGATGATAAAATAGAAATAACTTCATATGTATATTAAGAAAGAAATTGGAATGGCTATTGCCAAAAGCCAAGAAAACTAGAGACTCTTGAAACTAGACTGGAAGCAAGAAAGGAGTTGACAAGAGTGAAGAAGGCTTCACTCTTGTTTCTATATATACTATCTAACTAGTGGCTACGTGGCGACATTCTATAGGACCTCCAATATGTGTTGACTTTGTAGGACACATGCCTTGACTTATAAGGCAGGTTTTTCTACGTGTGGGCCACATAGTTAGCTTGGTCTTCAAGCTAACAACATGTGTGGCATATGGCTAACTTGTTGACCACGTTTCTAATCCAAAAAGTCAATTAAAGATACCTATGAAGTCAAAGCAGCATCTATGAAGCTTTTAGGAAGCTTTCATATCAAATACTATAGAATTAACTTATTTTTACCTACTTTTACTTATTTCTACATATTTATATATGTAATTATGAGTATGTCCGTGACAATTGTCTATATAGAAGGATATTTCTAAAAACATTTCATGGCATTACTCAAGCTAAGAAGAACATTTACATAACCTAATTCTATAGAAGTAGTACTATCTATTCTTTTACGTTCAACTTCCATCATATTAAGATTGTGTAATTCTTTTGATTGTAACTTTTGTTTGCTTAAGTCTATAATTTCTTTGTAATAAATACCTATAATAGATATATATTTAGTATAATTATTATCTAAGTAATATGAATAAGTAGAAGTACGTAAAAATAGATTAATTTCATAATACCTTCTAAAAAAGCTTTCTAGAAGCTTTTTAGAGGCTATTTTGACTTTATATATATTTATAGTTGATTGATAGGTTAGAAACTTAATCAATAAGCTATCCATGTACCACATGTGTTGGTAGCTTGCGAAACAAGCTAACTATGTGGCATCCATATAAAAACTTGCCTTGCAAGTTAAAATATGTGTCATACAAAGTCAACACATTTTTGGAGGTCCCATAGAATGTTGTCACATAGATCCTGGATATATAGTATATATAGAGACAAGAATGAAGCCTTCTTCATTCTTATCAATTCCTTTCTTGCTTCTAGTCTAAATTCAAGAGTCTCTAGTTTTCTTATCTTTTGGCAATAACCATTCCAATTTTTCCTTTAATATACATACTTCTCTATTTTTATTTTTTGAGAGAGTTTTACTTGTTTATTTGCTTTCATTGAGTTCTTATCCTTGACAAATTGGCAAGAATACACTTACAATATTAGAGCTTTACTTTTTTTGATTAAGATTGGATTATCCTTTTTTCTTGATAAGACATAAGTATATTAGAAGTTGCAGATTACCTTCTTCCAAACCAATATTGTTCTTAGTATTTTTTTTATTCTCAAGTCTTCTCTTTTGCTTATCTTGAGTAATATTAGATATTTTTTTTACTAAGTATTATCATGGTAGAGCTTCTTGAAATAAATAGTATAATGGCATAAATATAAGAATAATTGAGGGAGTTAATGCTTGTGATGCATCAACTTAATTTATCGCGACTTGGAGCAACTAAAATGGTAGAAAGTGAAGATACAGATATTATTGGAGCCACTTCAATATCTATACCAAATTACATTCCCTTTCCTATAGTAGAACATTCTTTTAGTATTAAAAAATCCATAATTGCCTTGTCCAAGAAGTTTGATGGCATAAGATCTAACTTTTGGAATTTATCAATCAATTACAATTTGTGATTGAACTTCAATCTCAAAGCTATTCAACTCCAAGATTACAAGTTAGATTCATTGGTACACTTTTATAAAGTTTGATAATATCATGGTTTTTATCTTTTTTTGAAGGATGAGATCTAA